GGGGCTACACCCAAGGGGGAGTACTTTTTTCTTCAAAAAGGTACACACCACGCGAAGATCTCACAGAGTGCTACACGGTTTCGCTCAAGAAAGCACTCGACGACGCTTGTTCCTGCTCGGCAAGACCTGAAAGAACAAGACGAGGCTTCTAGAGCACAACCATGAAGTGCTCGGGGGCTTGTCGGTGCGGGACCCGCAGGATACCCCGCAAGGAAGAGAGAAGATCTAGTCTAACTAGGATTCTCCCCATGTAATCTTAGTAGTAGTATTATTCTGTAATCCTATTAGGAACTCTCATTATAAATCGATTAGGATTCTGACCTCCTGACTATATAAAGGAGGGTAGGATCCTAGAGATCATGACTTCAACAACGCAACAACACTCAATCAATACAACGCAGAGGCTAACACCGACTGGATGTAGGGCTATTACTCGATCAACGATCGAGGGCTCAAACCAGGATAAATCGACTGCCTCTTACGTTCACCGTCGAGTTCCTCATACGCTGAAGCCCGAACATACTGTCCCAGGTAACCCCGTGGTAGGCTATCGGTGGTAAAACATCAACACTAAGCTCACAAGGTTGCTATGTTAATACAAATGGCCAAGAGAGAGAGCTTGAGCCAGCCATGGGGCTTAAATAGAAGCCCCCACAAAATAGAGCCGTTGGGCTCCTCACTGCACTGAACACGGGCCGACCGGACACTCCGGTCATATTGACCGGACGCTGAACCTCAGCGTCCGGTCATGCGATGTGCACCACATGTTATCGGCTTCAAACGCCGATCGCCTGATCTCAACGGTCAAGAGGTGATCGGACGTGTTAGTTAGAAAGTGACCGGACGTTAGAACTCAGCGTCTGGTCGTTTCTAGTAAGGTTCCAAATGCGACATTTCATGACCAGATGTGTCCGGTCATGCCCGACCGGACTCACCCAGTGTCCGGTCACACAACGTCTCCTCTATGCGCCTCACGACAGCGTACGTCAACACTAACCGGACGCACCCTGCCAGTGTCCGGTCACTTTTAGCGTCAGTGTCCGGTCGAAGACCGAAACACGCGCCCTCTACTGCCACTAACCGGACGCTCCGGTCCAACCGAGACCAGCGTCCGGTCACATACAGTGACCTTCGTCTTCTCTATCTAGGGCACCGGTGAAATTTCCTACCCTTGCTCAAATGTGCTAACCACCAAGTGTATCACCTTGTGCACATGTGTGTTAGCATATTTTTCACAAACATTTTCAAGGGTGTTAGCACTCCACTAGATCCTAAATGCATATGCAATGAGTTAGAGCATCTAGTGGCACTTTGATAACCGCATTTCGATACGAGTTTCACCCCTCTTAATAGTACGACTATCGATCCTAAATGTGATCACACTCGCTAAGTGTCTCGATCACTAAAACAAAATGGCTTCTATAATTTTTACCTTTGCCTTTAGCCTTTTGTTTTTCTCTTTCTTCTTTTCCAAGTTTAAGCATTTGATCATCACCATGCCATCACCATCGTCATGATCTTTGCCATTGCTTCATCACTTGGAGTAGCGCTACCTATCTCATAATCACTTTGATAAACTAGGTTAGCACTTAGGGTTTCATCAATTAACCAAAATCAAACTAGAGCTTTCACCTACACGTGCATGAGCGTCTGCTCTCTGCGTTATGGGTGGTCGGCAGTGGCTCCTTAGCGACGCCTGTTCCTCCTACACGTGCACGGGCTCCGCGCTCGACGTTATGAACTATGGGCTAGCTAGGGCTGGAGACTCAGCTACACGCTAATTGGCCAGGCGGTTTATATTAAATATAAATGCATCTTCGCTCCAACTTATCGCCGAGCTACATACGCTATTTTTTTCTCCGGAGTTCATATATTTTTACATCATGTACTACCCGTTCTACATATTTGTATTGCAGGATCATCATCCAGGTGATCAGATCACCTGGTGCTCGGACTTCTCCACCGATCAATTCATCGGACTGCTAGGTTCATTGACTCTGTCACCGACCAGTTGATCGGACTGTTCGCTGGTCGTGCTTCATCGCCAGCGACGCCGGTTACTCCTCGACTCTCGGATTCTTCGTGCTCGAGGACTAAGTGGGCACACTTCACTGCACGGACGTCGCCAGCTATGCCGGTGCTCGGATCTCGCCAGCTTCGCCGGGGACGCCTCAGTGCTCGGACATCGCCGCCTACGCCGGGAACTCCTCGGTACTCGAACATCGCCAGCGACGCCGGGGACTCCTCGCACTTTGGTGCTCGGACATTGCCAGCGATGCTGGGGACTCCTCGCTCCTCGGCGCTCGGACATCACCAGCGACGTCGGGGACTCCTCGCTCCTCGGCGCTCGGACATCGCTAGCGACGCCGGGGACTCCTCGGTGCTCGGACACCGCTGCTTACGCCGAGAACTCCTCGGTGCTCGGACATCACCGCCTACGCTGGGAACTCCTTGGTACTCGGACATCGCCAGCAACGCCGGGGACTCCTCGCTCCTCGGTGCTCAGACATCGCCAGCGACGCCGGGGACTCCTCGGTGCTCGGCGCTTGGACATCGCCAGTGACGCCGGGGACTCCTCGCTCTTCGGTGCTCGGACATCGCCAGCGACGTCGGGGACTCCTCGCTCCTCGGTGCTCGGACATCGCCAGCTACGTCGGGGACTCCTCGGTGCTCGGACGTCGCCAGCTACGCTGGGGACTTTCTTGCTGCTCGGATCTTGCTACGTCTCATCGGTGTGCTATCAAGCTGCTCCATGCTGTTTAGATCAGGGTGCTGATCTTGGGCAGCATGTCTGGGGTCTTGATACACGCATGTCAGACGACATTGGCAAGCTTTCAGACTTCTTTTTCTTTGACCCTGCTACAAGATTCATTCTTCATCTTCCAGCAGGCTCGGAGACTAAGTGGGCACACTTCACCTTACGGTGAATGTGCGCTTTTCTTATCTCGAGGCTACACCCGGGGACTAGCTGCCTACTCGGCTGGTCTTCTATCTTCTGACCCTGGCACCACGTGATTACGTCACCTACTGTTAGGCTCGAGGACTAGCTGTGGGGGTATGGCCCCCGGTATGCACAAGACAAGACATGAGCCGCCCCATCAGAGGTGGTCCGGCCCACAAGATCAAGGCGTGCACGGCGCTGCTCGGCTTGCACCGCAAGCTATTGTATAGTACCAAATATGATACTTTCCTTGTAACCCTGCCCCTCCAGAGTATATAAGGAGAGGCAGGATCCCCCAGTGGACAAGATCCATACATCTCATATTCAATACAATACACCAAAGACACATGACGTAGGGTATTACGTCGATTAGACGGCCCGAACCTTTCTAAATCGCTGTCTCTGCGCCTTGTGTCACCATCCGGTTCCTGATTACGCGCATCTCCACCGACAAATCTACCATCGTGGGATACCCCTCGGTGGACTGCCGAGCATCTTTTGTCGACAATTATGATTGCGGTATCTATTTTAGATAACAGTATAACACACGCTCATACATATATTGTCGTGGTATTACGTGTTTCCGTTACAACGCACGGACATTTACGGTACAGGGCCTCGCGAGCCGTCAGGCGTCGGCTCAGGCTCGAGCTCGATGTATTTCTGAGCCTCGGATTGGGACAGCACGGCACGCCCCGATTACCCTGGGTCCATCGGCCCAGGCATGAAGCAGAGCAGCAGTACTGACCATGTCACACCAGGGCTCCACCCTCGCCTCGAAGGGCAAAGCCTCGACGGCCGACGGCGGCGTTCGAAGCGATGTCGCGGCGGCCGTTGGAGTACCCTCTTCTGGCCCAAGACCCGGACCACCACCCACTGGTCAGACAACGGCGGAGGAGGAGGAGGCGCGCGCCAGGCGCGAGGCGGAGAAAGCCAAGCTCGCGGAGGAGATCACCGCGCTGAAGGCGGAAATTTTCGCCCTGGAGGAAGAGCTAGCCAAGATGGCCGCCGCCGCTGCTGCTACGCGCGCGAGTGCTTTTCATTCTCGTGTTTCAGCTAGGCCATTGTGATTGATTGGAGCTGTTGTTGTAGATCTCGGAGGAGCTAGTTAGATGGAATTCCCCATTGCAATTACTTTAGGTCATGTTCGTCTGAGCTGTGAAACAACTGCCAATGTTCTCGAATTTTATTGTTATTAGCATGCCTGGCATGGGATTATCCAATCAAAGAGCTGTCCTTTGATGTTGGGGACCTTGATGTTGCAGTAGAATCTTGCACAAATTTCTCTGAAAACTAGTATAATGCCCGTGCTAACGCTACGACAATTATCAAAAAGACTATGTTTATTAAAAATGAAGTAAATGGTAAGATAAATTAAGACGGATGCCAAAAGAGATTGTCAGCTAGCAAATGGAGATACACATGAAAACAACAAAATGGAGAAGAATATGTACGGACAATATTTGTAAATTGCGAATAAATAATTTGGCTAAAAATGTTCCTCAATCAGGGCTACTTGCTTACTTCTACTGTTTGACATTATCATGTTCCTCAAATCCAATGAATGCTGGTGCTTCTCCACTTGTCCTCAGATCCTCAGTAGTCTTTTGAAAATATATGCAAGACAAAATCATATTATGAATGGCAAGAAGAATTTGATAGTGTTGCTACTACTAAACATTTGGTCAGAACCAATTAAGATGCGCCAGCTTAATTGGGCGGTAGGAAATAATGCTGAACCAGGCAACCAACTCTTGCACCTGCAGCCAATCTACTCGCTGATAGAAAGCTGACCACTACTGGTGCATTTTTTCCCAACACCTGGAAGTAGCTCAAAATTCAGGAAGACGACAAAACTATGCCCAGCTCACACTAAATCCTAATAGTTAATAAAGATTGTATATTCCCATGAGTACAAATGCAGCATAAGATAAATAAACACCACTATCTAGTTAATAAAAATTAATTTTTTATGACATATGCTTGGCACTACGAAGCATGTAAAGACTTACTTCTGTAGTTATTTCCATACAGAAGATAGTAATGAGCAATGACTAAACTAAAGCTTCAGCAGTACAATGTAAGGACACTTAGAATTTGGTAAAAACAATCTCTTACTCCATACATCATTTTTATCATCCAGATCACTCTGAAATACAAAGAACAGTGGTGCCAAAATTTCATTCATCCCTTGTACATATCTTATTCCAGCATTCAGCTTGGCAAAGATTAACAGTAAATTTTTCAAAGATTCCTGTATGAAAGAAAAATTCGAGACAGCATCAGTTACCAATAAAAGAGCAATAAATGAGAGAAAAGCTGCTCATACATGCAACAAACCCAGCAGCATATGGCAATAGTTGGCTCAAAGGTTTCTTACATCATTTTCTTTTTCTCAAACCAAAGTGAACCTATGTTGTGGAGCAGGAATAATGAAGTAAGCCAATTGCATTATCCAGTTCCACTTGATTCTTGCTATGATTAAGTTCTACATGGAAATGTTAATAAGAATACATCATAAAAACAACGACGACTGCCATATGAATAGCTCTAAAAATTCGTGGATGCAGAAACCAGGTATGATATGTGCAACGAAAACAGCAATCAAGATACCATAAGTATGACCAGAATCTGCAGTGACTTACAGGGTTTCTAAGGAACTCATCTTTGAAAGCCGCGTACTATTATCTCTTCTTTGCCAGCTCCTGCTCCCACAGTGAGCGGTCGTTGGGCAGATAGCCTAGTAGCAGGTGCACAACAAAAACATGCACTGTTAGTGACTGAAAAGGCAAAACCAAAACCTTTGGCTGCAACCTTTCCACTACTGACAGAATCAGAATGCTTCATCAGTCTTCACCAAAGGTTGAAGAAAAAAAATACAGCTTCAGCCGGCTATTAGCATCCAAACCAAAAGGTTAAACTAAAATTTCCTAGAGAAATGGACTGATTAGAGGACAATCATACAAATTAAGGCCATCCTACAACGAAAACTATTCGCTTCACAGAAGATTGCAGTACCATTGCCTCAATGAGGCTAGCTTCTCAAATACCAAAGCCTCTGATGCTCATGCTGTGACCACAGAACAAAGGCTAAAGATACAGGAAGGCGAGCCAATCAAGTACCTTCCACAATCTAGTATATTGTCCGTGCTAACGCTATGGCAGCAAGCATGAACTGCAATTAATTAGCTTGCAGATGACACAGCCTTCATTAATATCTGTAGGTACATTTTCCTGTCATATAACCATTGCATGAGAAGCAAACTCTATTGCATGTCTACCTACATTTTTGCAGTATAAAAAAGGTTACCCACCTCCTCTTGCTATGGATATAGTATAATGCCCGTGCTAACGCAACGGTTTTATCTAGAGAATGATTATAAAAACATCTAATTTGTTATTTTGTAGTTTAACCTTTACCCAATTATTATATTGTAGCCTAAGTTACATTTGATCACCGTACCTCCAAGCCGGAAGCCCGGCACCACCGTGAACCCGACCTTTGGTCGCACTGGCTTCCCGAGCTCCTTGCTCGCCACGAAACCCTTCGACCGGACAATGTTCTCCATGTACACCATTGAGAACTTTGTGCCCCGGCCAACCTGGAATATGTCGACTGCTGGGTCATATGCCCAGGCTAACCTGTGCAGTGTCCATATTGAGCTTGCCATTGCAACAAATAACTCGTAGAGTGGGCCGGCCACACTCATCACCAGCAATGTCCCGTAGTCTGAATTCCCAAACAGTGAGGATTCAATGCCAGGATGAATCAGCTGTTTGTACTTGCGGTCGCAAAATTGGGCAAACTCGCAGTCCGGGCTTGAATTCATCAGCTCCATCGGGTCTGCATCTGAGTGCTCGATGAATTGCTGCAATGACTCGTTCCTACGGGTTGCTAGCTCCATTCCTCCGAGCTCTGTGGTGCCAGCTGTGGCGCCGAATTGGTAGGAGTCGAATCCGTCAAACATGGAGAGGCAGACGTGGGAGAGGAGCGCGTAGCGGCAGTGGCCGGCCTTGGAGTAGGAGACACCAGGGTAGGCAGCCTCTGCAGCTGCGGCCAGGTCCCACCCAGCGCACCGGAGGACCTCGGCAAGCGCGCGGACAAATCGGTGGGCGACGCGGAGCGCGTCGCGGAGGACAGAGTCGAAGACGCCCGCGGACAGCATCGCGCCGACGGCGTCGCCACCCGGCGGAGGCGCGAGCGCGCGGTCGAGGCGGCCTGTGAGCCGCGCGTTGCCGTCGTCGACCGCCTCTAGGTCCAGCCGCAGCCGCGGCGTCCTTGGCGTCGAGGGCCGCCTGTAGGCGGTTCACCACAGCGTCGAAGGACCACAGCAGCGCTTGGTTCTCGCGCACCTGGGCCTCGAGGTGCGCCGTGAGCGTCCCGTCCCCATCCCCGTCTAGCGAGGGCGGGTCCGCCGGCTCGCCCCTCGCGATCCGCTTGAGCTCCGAAAGCCGCCGGAGGTGCGAGACCGCGGCGGTGTCCGCGGCCACCGCCGCATCGGGCAGGAACGGAGCGTGGGCGGCCTGCAGGTGCAGGTACGCCGCCTGGAACGACGAGGCCATCGCGAGCACCGCAGCGACGGCGGCCTCCTGCCCGGACGCCGCCTTCCCCTCCCCATCCACGCTAGGGTTAGGGTTCAGCAGCGGGTCGGGCTTCAGCACGACCACCCGCTGCCCCGCAAGGACCCCATCCGCCCTCGGCGCCGGCGAGCGCGCGAATCGGTCGGCGTCCTCGTCCTCCTCCTCCTCGGCGAAGAACTCGATGGTCTTGGTCTTGAACGCGAGCGCGAACTTGTGGAGCATGGCTATGCCCACCGCCGCGCGCTCGGCGCGTTCTCTGTCTCCGCCGCCGAGCGGGGCGGGGTGTCGGCGACGCGAATTGCGGGAGTGCGGGGTGTTGGCGTAGAATGAGGAGATTTGATACGCCTTCGATTGTGTAATGAGTAAAGAGAGAAGACTTAGAGTGTATCTAGACGGTTCGTTTGAAATGTGTTATTTTTCTGGGTATATTTTTTAGGGTGGACTTAGAGGGGATATTTTAGTGGGGGGTCGTTTTCTCGTGTGGACGTAGGAAAGAAAAGATAGTGTATTAGTAAGGTAGATAAATGATTTTTGCACACAGAAACAAGTGTCATGTTGCGGGGGGAGGCCACAAGACAGCACTAGCCGAACAGCTTCAAAGCTCGTTCGCGAGAAGCCATAGTTGGGGTCCAGAGGTTTCGGAGCCATTTTGGAAAGCAAAAGCCATTTCTTTTCTGCAGGTAAAGCAGATCCAAGTCCATTCCTAGTGTTCCATTCCATATTTCAGTTGCGGAGCTGTTGTCTGAATGGTGAACGAACTGACATGGCCATGCCTTCAAAACATAAGAGAAACTATGCAATGAGCCAATGATGCCTTTGAATCAAACAGGCTTTTTTGGTGTGGTTCTATTCGGCTCCAGTAATATAGCGCCGATGGAGGTCAAACAACGTAGTTTCAATGGCTCATTCTGTTTTGGTAGGAGTCGGATCTATTTGTGCACAGGAGTCGAAGCAACACTGGTATACCAAACTGGCCCAAAGTATCAAACTCGGCTCTGAGTCGGAAACTCGGCATCTGAGTCTTACTGGTATCTCACACTCTCGTATGGACAGCTGCCTGAGCTAAGCTGGCAAAACGATGCAGTCGGTAATGATCCTCTCGTTATTAACCTCTCGCATGAAGAGCCACACAGAAAATTTACGAAATTATCCGTCTTCTCTCTGCCCCTCTCTAGCAAAAATGACACTTCAGTAGTTTGGTGTCACGCAACAACCAACAAAGAGCCGAAGGGTGAGACTCAATCTTCTCATAAAAAATGAGATAAGAGCCTGAAGTCCTGAGCTTCTAAGTGAAATTGGTTGTCAACAACTTCGTTGCAACATTCTATCCGAATTGCTAGAACCAAACTACTATCAGTACTACAGCTAATCGCCCTGTTCGTTTAGCTTATAAGCCGTACTTTTTCGGCCAACGAACAATATTTTTCTCTCACAACAAATCAGCCAACAATACTTTCAGCCATGACTTATCAGCCAAGCGAACAGAGCAAATATATGGACACCAAACAATTTGGAAAATATAATCAAACTAATGACGTGCCAGGCTGGCAGCAAGCCAAGCTAAACTCTGTCCATCCATAAGATAAGAAGCATTCAGAAATGTGCTGGTAGAAAAAAGGCAACTTTTTTTTTGAGCAAAAGAAAAAAGGCAACTGTACCCCGCCAGTCTGGAACACAGGCCCATAAGAAGCCCAGAAGGTGAAGAATTCAAGGCCCCTGGCCCATATGTTTGCACGATTCGCAGCCCATTTTTCTCCTCGACTCCTCCTTATAACACGGTCCGGTAGACGGGGAAAGAGAGAGAAGGTGAGAGTGGATTTGACAAGGGGAAAAAACCAGGCCTGTGCGAGAGAGAGGCGAGGGCAACTCAGGCGACGCGATGGCGATGGCGGCGCTGCGACGCGAGGGGAGGCGCATCCTTCTCTCCCCCACCGTCCCCAACCCGTCTCCGGCGGCCGCTTCCGCTGCGGTGACGCGATCCTCCGCCATCTCGCAACCGTAAGGCTATGGCCTTCCCTCACTCTCAGATCTCTCTCGTGCTCGATCTGGGACGCGGGAGGGGGGCACGGGGTTTGTTTCGTACATCCGGGGGTACAGTATGCCAGCGTTTGATTTGTCTGTAGGTGGCCAGCGCAAGCCCGCAACTAAGATTCGTATATAGACCAAAGCCATATCATCGCATTTCATATGTACCCTATAGTTTTTTTTTCTTCTGATAAGATTCTGTTGGTTTAGTGCTGGCATATGCATTTGTTTAACATGCACTCAGGAACTGGAAATTTTATGTGTGGAATGATTTTTTTCTCTCACTACAACACATCTCTATAAGCGTGTATTTGTTGAAATGCTAACAATCTCAAGCAGCCCTATACTCTGCATCTTTTTGTTCATATATAACTTTTTGTCTATATGGGTTTGTGCTGACTGCACACTACATTAACAGGGAGATGGCTCCACTTGGTGCACGCTCCATTTCAACTCAAATCGGTAAGGGTTCTTGCAGTCTGGTTCCTTCGCTCACTTTTTATTGATTGGAAAAGGTTCCTAATCACTAGTATTCTTCTGTTATGATCTGCAGTGAGGAACCGGATGAAGAGTGTTAAGAACATCCAGAAGATCACAAAGGCTATGAAGATGGTTGCAGCATCAAAGCTTCGGGCTGTTCAGACGAGGACTGAAAATTCACGTGGCTTGTGGCAGCCGTTCACCGCCCTTCTTGGGGACGCTCCTAGTATGTATATATATGGCGTTTCAAAAGCCACTGGATTAGCCTCCTGTCTAGTTACTTTCATCTGTTCTGCCCTTCTATGTATAGTTCGTATGATGTTATGCTTCTTTAGTATGGTTTGATCTGTCACCCATAATGTTCAGTAACATACTGTAAGATTTAAGTTAGATTTATTCAATTGAGGTTGGTCATTCTAGGGTTTACTAGTAGTATCATGAAATGTTCAAGCTATGCTTCTTTAACAAGTTTTTTTTCTACCTGTAAGGGGCATCTTTCCTGCAATATGTACTTGGAAGTACATTTTAAGTTGATCAGTTGAAATATCGGCGTCAGTAGCCTCATAAGTAACTTGAACCCAGTATCATGTTTCTTGTTTGCTTTTATTAGAAACTAAAAGATACAGTGTGATATTTCTGGAGATATAATGTTTCATCAAAATCAGCATATATACTAGTATCCTTTTCATGTTTATGCGATGAAGATTTCTTATTGCGAGCAAATTTCCACTTCAAGAAAAAATTGTAGTGCAAGTGTGACACAGATGGCCTTTGCTCGTAGTATTCTTTCGAACTTTTGGTCATGTGCAGTTGCGTTACTCTGCAGAGGTTTGAAGTTTACTTAAGTTTTCTCATGTTGATCTTCAACTTTTCTGCTTTGACTCGACAGGCGTTGATGTCAAGAAGAATGTGATTGTGGCCATTACCTCTGATAAGGGACTCTGTGGTGGTATTAATTCAACATCAGTGAAAGTTAGCAGGGCCCTTCACAAATTGACATCTGGTTGTTTATTCACTTGGTTGACATGAATATAATCCTTGTGTATTGTTCTAAGTCTGCGAATTTAATGCTTATGTTCCTGTTTCCAGGTCCAGAAAAAGAAAGCAAGTATGTTATATTAGGAGAAAAGGGAAAAGTTCAGCTGGTGCGTGACTCAAGGAACAGCATTGAAATGACTGTAACTGAACTACAGAAGAACCCTCTCAACTATACACAGGTCTGTTTTTATTAGTTTCTAGATCAATATTTTGATCTGTTTTAGTTCAAAAAAAAAGATTTGCATCTGTTTGTTTTCTTAATGCCTGATTGTCTTCATAGAATCATGCTATGGTGTTTGTTCTCTAGGCTATTGAATTCCTTGACTAATTTGCGAGACAATTAATCTGAATGCGCAGAAAAGGATGTCTAGTATAGCTACTGGTTAACTTACTCGGTGCAATTCTGGACTCTTCTAGGCCCAAATGAAATTGTCTGCTGTAACAGTCATGGCCACAAATGACCAGACAACTTATGGATGACTGGTTCAGCTACTGATGGTTCCTTTACCTATTTTAATGTTTGCTATTGCTCACGTAAAAGAGCTGTGAATTGAGTATCATAGTATAAAAATTAATCATCCTCTTTGCAAAGCAGCTGAGTCTTTGTGACATCAAACTATTGAGTACATGATACACTAATGCTAGGAAAAGTTGACCACTTGTATGCTTCCAATCTTTTTTGGGGTAGCACTTGAATTATGAAAACATGTCTTAGCATGTCGTTGGGTTCTAACTCTAGCTTCCTTAGATGTCGAGAATATCTTGTTTTTGTGATGAAATTTAGGAATACATTCACATTAGTACCTTTTTTATAAATATAATTTCCTTTGTTGCTCTGAAATTTAATGCTTTCAATTCAACGAATTTCAGATTGCTGTGCTTGCCGATGACATATTGAAAAATGTGGAATATGATGCTCTGAGGGTTATTTTCAACAAGTTCCAGTCTGTTATATCATTTAAACCCACAGTGGTAACAATACTGTCCCCTGAGGTAAGAAACCCTGAGGCTTGTGAACTAGTGCTCTAATCACTAGAGACCATCCAAAGCATCATGTTATTTTGTTCATTGTTTACTGCTCTTTCCTTGAGTAGGTTGCAGAAAAAGAATCAGAAGCTGGCGGGAAGATGGGTGACCTAGATTCTTATGAGATTGAAGGCGGCGAGACAAAATCAGAGATATTGCAGAATCTAGCTGAGTTCCAGTTTTCTTGTGTAAGTCTTTTGTGATCACTAAGGAGCTACGTGTAGCTCGTCTATTATCTGGGGAGAACTAACTATGCTTATGGTTCAAAGCAACAATTTTATGATTGCTTTAGCAGTTTGTGTTGTGTAAATATACAGAAAAATGTGTAACATTTCCATGAATTTATTTTTGGGTTTAAGACTAGATAATTTTGTCTCCCTTGTTGTAATATATATTGCAATGCCTGGCTTACTGCAGGTCCTGTTCAATGGTGCCCTAGAGAATGCATGCAGTGAGCTTGGAGCCCGTATGTCTGCCATGGACAGCTCTAGCAGAAATGCTGGCGATATGCTTGATCGTCTCACTCTCACTTACAACAGGTTTGTTTTAACCAACTAGCACCTTTTTATGCAAGCATATTGTGAAGCTACGTGACTACATGAAATGCATGCATTAGCAATAGCAAAAAACAGGATTTTAGAAGAATACTGATCCCTCATTTTCTATATTCAGGACACGCCAAGCATCCATCACCACTGAGCTTATTGAAATTATATCTGGTGCATCGGCCCTTGAAGGAAAGTGAAGAGACTGGACTTTTTCCTTCTCCCGTTTGTGTTCCTCTTGCATGAAGGCTTCTTTTCTTCTGGAGGCTCAGTTTCAACCCTTTTCATTTCACTTTTCCTTGAGAAACGTACTCATGCTTTGTTGCAATAATTAGGCCAACGACAATGATGGTGCCGTGCGCCCCTGGCACATTGCAGAAGTGTAACAGCTATGGTGAATGGCTGGTTTCATAAATGATGACGATCAATATATGTATTTTTGCACATGATTAAGCAAGTTCATGTTGTATTGGTGAGGTAACTAATGCCTGCCTAATTGAGCGATATAACGAATTAACGATATATAATGCGTCATTAATGACATTTGTTCAATCTGCGCCTTCATCATTTTTCCAGTTCGAGAATCTATTTTTAATTGTGATGATATATGCTAGAACATCTATTTTCAGTCTTTTCACTTTTCGACTGCTTCTATTCTCTTGGACCTTTATACAATCCCTGATGCAATTGCCAAATAACGATTACTAGATCTACCTTCTCAAATTGTGAGCATGCGACATGATGATAACACTAAAACCGTTCTTAAACATATGCCGTACAAATGCACTGTGGAAACCTCTTATGTTGTTGCATTTTTTAAGTTAAATTGATTCCTGTAAAATTCCCATACAGTTTCAAATATTTCCTAAACTTTATTCTCTTAAACTATTCTTCTATATATTTACCGGTCAAACCTGACATTCCTATTCTACCCACCTCTCCTCTTTTGGCGAAATCGCCTCAACCCTTCTTCATTGGACATCACCCCCTCCTCCCTCTGCCTCCGGCAATGGTTGCGATTTTTTTATTACCTGAGTCCAGGTCGAGCCCTAAGCTTTCTTAATACTTCCTCAGGGTACTCAACTATTAAGTAAAATGGTGACATTTTTCTTTCACGAACGGGGCTCACAACCCGTGTTTCATTAAGAGGAAAAGGAGCTCATAGTACACAGAACAAAGGCAAGCGCCAACTGTGGCGAGAGGCCATCGGCAGCCGCTCACCGGAATCTAAAGCTACTGGACCAAAGAAGAGAGACCAGGAATAATTTCTTAGATAAGAAACTATATCTATACTGAACCAAGATATGAAGAGATATGATAGGTAGATAAAGAGAGTAGATATATGTTGGATAAACAATTATTTTAAGAAACTATCCATTAAGAATACTACTTCTATTTCTAGTGTCTATATCATTTAGCAAGTATAGAAGCTACCACTATCTGTCTCAAATTATAAGTCGTTTTAGCTTTTCTAGGTACATAGTTTTTGTCATGCATCTAGATATACGATATGTCTATCTAGAAAATTCAAAACGATCTATAAATTGAAACGTAGTGAATATCTCAGTTTATGGGTCCGGAGTGCCCTTAGAACATTCGATTGTGTGCATAAGATCGCCACCAAAATCTTGGAGCCGCCTCTTTTCTCCACACTCTAAATGTGCTTAGAAACATAATGTGTTTGGCAACCAAACCAGTGCATCTTGCTTGCATTAGCAAAGGTAATACCCAATCTTAGTTGGCTAGCCATGCTCGATTTTAAATTTGAAACAAACACATCATTAGGGGTTATGTGGAGACGAAGAATGTCTTAGGATCCTTTTTCGGACTCTGGATGTCCTTAGAAACTTGAAGATTATGTGGAGATATGAGCTCACCCGAATTGGAGACGACATGGATAGCAAACTAGAAAATCAATAAGCTAGATAAAAAAAACTAATTTCTTTCTTCTGAATTATAAGACGTAACGTTTTATTTTATATGAAAGGGAGTGGTGAACAGGCTATAAAACTTGAGACTGAAAACTGGATTTCTGAAATGTTATCTTCACGTACTCGTCCTGTGAGTTGTGACTCGAGCTGAAAAAAGAAAGAAAAGAAAAGAAACACCACACACGGTTACGCGGGCAAGGGGCGACCGGGCAACGCATCCAATCCATGCAGCCAGGCCTCATCGGCTCATCGCCCTAGCCTCCCATCCCGGGCTCCCGGCTGACGACTGTGCCCGTCTCCTTCCCCTGATTCATCCGCGAGCCCACCCGTCAGCGAGCGCCCATGACGGCGGACCGATCGCACAAGGTCGCCGATGAGCCCGCCGCCGCAGGCAGGCAAAGACCTGAAAGGTACCCAGCCCCCCTCCCTCCCTCGCTCTCCTATCCGTTACGGCCATCGATTTGCGAAACCTAGTGCCCTGCCCGCCGCCCTCGCGGTTGAGACGGGGGTTGGGGATGCCGAGTCGCTGAAACATGTGCGCTTCTTCTTTAGGAAGAAGAGGAAGTGGGATCAGCCCGCGGAGGACTTGGTCTCCGCGGCGGTGAAGTCTGCTGCCGTGGCGGGGATTCCTGTGATGAATTTCGGTGCTTTTCCTGGCGTTGCATTGCCCGGCGTCACTGCGTATGGAGCTGGTACATTGCCGAGTGTAGTCCCTGTTCCATATTCGTTGCCGCCCCATATTGCGCCATCGGTGCCGCCCCGTATTGCGCAATCGGTGCTCCAGAATGCTGCTGTTGCAGTTCAGAAATTGAGTCAGGTGTGATTTAGTTTCTCATACCATACTGTTTTTTTAAGCTCTGAGAGGTACTATGTGGACAATTATAATCTAGGGTTATCGGAGTGCATCTGTCACTACTTATGTATGTGTCTTTTTTTTACTATTAGGCAAAAATACCAGATGAGGTCATTGCACGTGAAATTGTTATAAACGATGCAGATCCATCTGTGCGATATAAGCTTACAAAACGACAAACACAAGAAGAGGTAAATCCTTAACCAGACAAGTCTAGGTTACTGGTGGACTCTGTTCCTTCTAAAACATTGTATTCGCATACGTTAAGGTCAAATAAGGTACTTATGATGTTCCTGATACTTAACAGATTCAGAGATACACAAACACTGTCATCATTACCAGGTATAATCTGACATGCCCTCTTGGTTTTGACGGTCCATTCCTGAGACTACTTGTTTTACCTTGTAAGGGGAAAATACCACCCTCCAAATGAACATCCTGATGGTGAAAAGCCACTCTATCTACATATCTCTGCTGGATCTCAGGTAAATATTATTCTTTCCGTTGAATTCCGTCTCCTTCATTTTATTGTGACCATAATAACTTTGGTGATATATACCTGAAATTTCTGCACTGCAACAGTTATTTAATCAGTTGTATAACTATATAATGGACCATTTTATGGCTGTCTGCATGCATTAACTGTTACTGGAAGATCTCATTGTGTTTTCCATCTTGTCCTTTCTTGTTTTTAACTATGATGATGGTGTCAATTATCTTATTGTTCTTTTGTTTTTAATACTATGTCAAATACAACTTACTGACTTGATCACCATGTTAAAGTTACAGAACTATCATGTCTGCCTTGAGTTGACTATTGATTGTTTAACTGCTACTGCTTATAAGGGCGTTAAACTGTGAACTAAGGACCTTAGGAGTATGAATTTTAAAACTACCTTTGAAGATCTTAAAGATCTCAACCCATGACTGAAGTTTTCTGGTAAACAGGGAGTCAGGGAGGCTAAAAGGGAATGGACTTTCCTGCCTTAATAGGGTGTTTGGTTTGAGGAATCACTCCATTCTAGATGGGGTGGTGCATCATGAGTCCATTCCTAAAATTTGGTAGAATGGCTCCATTCCTCAATCCTCATACTAGTACTAATTATTAGCTTGTGAGCGATGAGGCGATGATGGATCAGCCCATTCCATTCCACAAACCAAACAAAAAAGTTAGGATTGAGAAGATGATGAACTAACTCACTCCTCAAACCAAACAGCCTATAAATGCTGTAAAACAGTGATTGTGCCAATGCATATAGTAGGTCATACACTAGTTTTGCTTTTTGTGGGAACTGGGATTTAACATATCTGCTTGTTAGGCGTAATGCAATCTAATTGTGATGATATTCCTCTTTAATTTTTTGATTTTGAATCATCCATCCATATTATAACAAAAAATTGCATGATATCAGTGCCGAGGCCATTGTCATAAGTAGCAGCATGCCTCTATTTTTTCTAGTCTATATTCAATCCTGTATAAACATTCCTTATAATAGTAGTGATAAGATAATAATATGCATTTGGCCTCTCAATAGTTGAAAGATACCGCTGAGCGCATTAAGGCAGTTGACCGTGCAGCTTCAATGATTGAGGAAATATTGAAACAAGGAACAATCTCAGAGTCTATATCGGTCCCTTTCTCCTCTAGTGGTGGACAGGTAATCTTCTATATCTCCATATCATGAGCAAATTTACCCATTTTTGGGAGCGAATGGGGATCAGTGTAGTATGTTTGCTGTACTACTATATAACAAATTCTGCTCGAGAAATTTAACTTCATCTCTATTCATCTTTCACAGGCTGTTCGTCCTTTTAGTGCCTCGATATTTTTGGATTTTGATGCAGATCCATCATTGAATATCGCAGCTCGAATCCGTGGTCCAAATGTATGTTTTTTGTAGAACTATATGTGATCCTGGTTTTATTTGATCATTTTGTTATTAGCATATCTCAGTTTAATTTTGTTAATTACTCAATTTATGTGCTGTTTTCTTTCTTTTTTTTTTGGAAAGATCTAATCATAAAGCTTTCTCTGACATCCCAATTTGGATGGGAGAAACTGCTTTTGTGCTGTTGGTGCTTGTGCTCTTTTGTTATTATAGGATCAGTACATAAATCATATCATGGGAGAAACAGGGGTCACTGTTGTACTAAGAGGGAAAGGTTCAGAGAATCTTGGCAGTTGTCATGGTGAAGGTTGGTGATTATTTTGATAGCTTTTAGGAACTCCTACATAAACTATCTTTCCCTATCTTAATTGAAAGACAGAGCTCCTGCCATTGCGTTCAAAAATTTGTAGGCTTACATTTTATTCTATAATTTGTAGGCTTACATTTTATTCTATAACATCCTTTGTAGCCTCACAACAACCTCTACACCTATACCTCGCAAGTATGCATTTAAAGAACCTAGAAGCTGCAAAAGTTTTGGCAGAGAACCTCCTTGATACAATAGCAGCAGAATTCGGTGCTTCCAGGTATGTAAATTTGCTAACGTTGAATTAAATGATTATTTCTTTTTTGCTTGCACGTTTTCCATTTTATGAGAAATACAACCTTTGCATCTGCATTCTCACCTTCTTGGTTAAGTATTTGCTTTACTTAGTCATTAACTCATCTTGATTTTATCAGCTTTGTCCTTTGAAAATACTTTTTTTCTTAAGGAAATGATTGTATGAAGCATACAAGCTTACTGACTCTTAGTATCATGTTCAAATCGCAGCCCATTGTTTTATGTTTTTGTGTCTTTTTCTTTTCTCCCCAACATCGAAGCATGTACAGATTCTTATTTTTGATATTGGATCCTACAACAGAATTCTTATCATTTTCATTTTATTAATACCTTTTTTCGACAGGATTTCTTCTTCAAACGTATATGGTGCTGTTCCACCTCCTCAGCAGTTGTTAGCTGGTACTGACACCTCAGGAGCGAAATCAGATGTTCACTATACTTTAGGGCTCAATGTGTTATCAGGAGCTCCACATTCCTCTGCATCTACTGCAGCTATTGCTCCTGTTGTTGCTCCTGCAGTGGCAGTGCAATCAGGGGCTCCAACATATTCTGGGGTTCCACCACCCAGTAACATGGCCAATCCTATTCCACCAGTAAATGGTGGGGCATTTTACAGCGGTTATGGGGACATTTATCCCCAAGCAACTCCATTGCAGCAGGTGGCATTCACACTCAAGCATGCCTCGTCGTCGGCAGCTCAGGCTGTTCCAGTAACGTCCACACCAACAATCATGGCGACAAAGGAGAACTCAACCTTGGATGTGGAGATGGATAAACGTTCCCGAAGAAAATTCCAGGAACTACCGGTCTCAAAGGGTCCAGCAACAGAAAGTCAGGTACAACTAGTTCTGTTTTTCTTTCTGATATAGCCTCGACTTAATTCTTAACTACAGGAGCTACAACAGCCTTTTTAAGCTCTTCTTTTGTATATACTTGTTCTACTGTCCCCTCTATTCACCTCCTTTTCTCTGTATTACCTTTCATGTGATTAATCTAAATTCCATGGCCACCGCCTATCCTGATTTGATGACATCTTCCCTACTCTCTCATCCTTGTTTGTTCTCTCCTTTCTTAGCTTGGCTTGTGCCATCTTTTGTAGCCCATTGACTCTTATCAGCACAACTTCCAAGGCGATTTCAATATCAGGATTTGGAATTCCTGGCATATTTGCTTTTGTTTGTATCTTTGATGTACACTGTTGCTCTTTTAACTACAAGAAAAACTTTGTATGACATTGTGACATCTATTAACATCAAAATGTTCTGCATAAAAATATTGCCCTTTTGTTTATGATGCCTCCTTGAAACAAGGGAAGCACTTTTGATTAACCGAGAGATTTGATGCAACACAGCAAATATTCCACATGCAATTAATAACTACTATAAATCTGACTTGTTTTGAAGGAAAGGAACTTTGCTTGCTCCTGTAGTTCTTGCAGTTCTCTTAATGGAGACTACAATCCAAATTTAACAGTACTATTAAAAGCAATAGTTGGATTGCCAGATTGGCATCATCGTTTTTTGTTGTATTCTTTTATCTGCTTCTAAGTTCTAACATCTCATTTCATTCCAGGTATTTTCTCTGACCTTGTCTGAAGCTCACAGGTGGCAATACATGTGGGTTTTTTCACAGGCTTGTAACAAGTTGGAGTTTGCATTAGCTGTGGAGTGTAACTGACAAGATGCAGAGCTCTTCAAATATCTTGTTACTTTTTTCAGCACATAGAAATTTAACCTTTGCGTTTGATCTGTTTCTGTTCGCTTACAGAGTTCACTAGTGTTGATTAACATTGCTAGCATGCCTTAAGTTTTGAAATTGGTTGTTTGGTTTAGTCTTGTTAGTAGGTTTTGATACATTTTATTTCTTCACTCTTTGGAGAAAGTTTTGCATTTGCAAAATCTTCTCGTTCAGTAGAAGTTCCAAGCAATATAAATATACAAATTACAAAAGGTCCTTCCATATGAAACTTCACTTAGTTAAGCAGACTCAGAGACTCAGGGTGTTGTTAATTTCCTGCATTGTCTCCTACACTTATGTGTATATCTTTGTTATGTTATTATAGACTCTCCCAATATGAAAATTATATTTACAGCATATCTGCTTCTATCTTTTCAAAATTAAGATAACATTATGAACCTGTCAAGAGTCATGCTAACTAGTATTGTGCTTCCATATGAAATATGCTCGTATTTATGCTGCGTATGCAAAATTGTTTCTGATTTCATTCTTATGCATGCCATTGTGCATTACCTACTCTAACACACAGGAATTTGATGGATGAGTGTTCTTGTTTTCTTTCATCTTTCCAGAACTCACAACTGGGGTCCAAATTTGTTAAGACAGGTTTAGATAGTTTAGGTAACATTGGGAGCTCATCAATTGCACCTCCAAAGAAAGTTCATCCTGGATCAAATGGAATGCTTCTGCCAGAAGAAGCGGACGTGTCATCACATCTCTCTATATCCACTAAGATGCCACCACCACCCCTGAAGAGCATGCTGCCGCCGCCACCCAAAAACATGCCACCGCCACCGCCACCGCCCAAGAGCATGCCTCCGCCGTCACCGCCCAAAAACATGCTACCGCCACCGTCTAAGAGCATGCCTCCGCCGCCACCAAAATTCCCTTCAGATGAGTTATTGTCAAGAAACGAGGACAAGACTTTTGCTTTAAAGGAGCTGACAGCACCTCCAAGGCCCTTGGATGCAAGATCAGTCTTGCCATCTCAACGACAACCAAAGGAGCCTGAGGAACAAACAAAAGCCACACCTGTGTCTGGTAATATTTCACACAATAATTTCCTTTGTGCATAGGATATGATTTAACTTCGCTAATTTGCATATTATCTTTGGTGTTCATTTGTAGATACTTTGCTGAAACTTATTGATTATGGAGACGACGACGATGACGATGACGACGATATTGATGTGACAGACAACATACCTAAGGGCAATCCAACTCCTGGTTCAGAGCAGAAACCATTTTGAGCTGTTTAAAACTGGGTCTGCTAACGTAGTCTAGTGTGAAATCAAAATTGCTGATAAGGATGCTTGCTGCCTTGGTGCATCTTCTGAATCAAAGAGGCAATCGAGCTCCTTGTTCTTGTTCCGTAGTAATTCTAATGGGCAATGAGATTTCTTTGAACTTGTATTCATTGTGGCGTAGTCAAAATGAACCGTATGTTGTTTTGGCTCAGATATGATGACTTTGTTTTTAGATTGTACGTTGGTTGCTGAACTCGTAACATTTTAATGTCGGTATCATATAATTGTTCGAGCCTGTCATTTTTGTATCCACTATCATGCAAATTTAATTTCTGTAATAAGGTCAGACATCGCGTGGAAGCACTTTTCTTAATTGAAGGAAAATGGCAGGACATGTGCTATGGTAATTTTCAATTCGGCTTCTCCTTGACATGTTCAAATTCAAGTTATTAATATAGGAAGTCTAAGGTGGAGATCTCCTGCAGTAATCACCAGACTTTGGATCACCAGACTGGCCTAGATCGGATCCAAATACTTTGGATATTCGGTTGAACCTCCAGTAATCACCAGACTAGCCTAGATCAGATCCAAATACCCTTGATATTCCGTTGCTTAACTGAGTATATGACGCATAGATGCCTATCCCGAATATGAAACTGGAGATCCATTCAAATAAAGGTATATTATTGCTGACTAGTTTGGTATGAGAGAAAAATACTATTTTGATTTATAATACACGATCGTTTACGACCAAGAGAGGTTTATAATATACGATCGTTTACGATCAAGCGACCAAGAGAAAAATACTGTTATCTTTGTGATGAAGACTTTAATAGGCATGTCCGTTGACATCGAGGTAGTTGGCATTTGCGACTGTATTGTGTTTCAAACATGCCATCAGTTAGCTCGGGTTTCTGAAATTTGCTTTTCAGAAGGGCCTTCAGATTCGCCATTACTTTTGTAAAAGGTCGCACAACTCGCACGTCAGGTCAGGCTCTCCCCTATTTGTACCTTAGACGCCACTCTTTGATTTCCGAATGCCGACTATTCCATAATCTATGAGACTTTTCCCTGTGTGCCATTATAAAAATCTCCTAATTCTCTCTCTTGGAAAAATTCAGCGGTCTTTAGCGCCACTATTTCAACTTTTTCGGGTCCTCCATGCCACTTCCGTCAGTTCAGGCTCTAACGCCGTCAAACTACAGGTGTGAAAAGACGAAAATGCCCTTAAGTTCAAATATGTTATTAAATTTTTTAAGCATCTTAACGACTTCAAATGAAAAAACTCAAAACTAGAAAGTTGTAGATCTCGTTGAGATCTATAATTTTTATATAAAAATTATTTTCATTTAATTCCGCAAAAAAAATATGATGATTTTTCTAAGATATATTAATCATATCAAATCATATTTTTTTTGCGGAATTAAATGAAAATAATTTTTATATGAAAATTATAGATCTCGACGAGATCTACAACTTTCTAGTTTTGAGTTTTTTCATTTGAAGTCGTTAAGATGCTCAAAAAAAATTAATAACATATTTGAACTTAAGGGCATTTTCGTCTTTTCACACCTGCACTTTAACGGCGTTAGAGCCTGAACTGACGGAAGTGGCATGGAGGACCCGAAAAAGTTAAAGTAGTGGCGCTGAAGACCGCTGAATTTTTCCAGGGACACAAAGAGGATTGCGATCTTTTATAACTTTTATAATGGCGCACAGGGAAAAGTCTCATAATCTATTGGCTCCCTTTTATTCTACAAAATGGTATACAGAGAGCGGGAGGAGTTCGTCTGCTGGTTACAACCGAGGCTGTCATTGCCCGGAACGGCGGCAGCGGTGACGGTGTATGCGCTGGTCGCTCTTATCGCAGGCGCCGGCGCCGCCGTGGCGGGAGGTGGCGAGCAGCCGCTGTCGAGGATCGCCATCCACCGCGCCACCGCTGCGCCCCAGCCGGGTGCCTTCGTCGACGCGTCGCCGGCCCTTCTCGGCCTGGAGGTGAGCCCTCTGAAACGCTGGCGCCTCACGCTAATTCGAGTGGGCGCATCAGTTCGTGGGCTCGAGGTGCTCTAAGCTCTTCCGAGTATGAGTGCACAGTAGTTTAAGAGCTTTGTCGCAATCCGGGGCTGAAATTTTGCAATTCATCATTAGAAATATGGGCGCTCAATACTCGAATGTCCAAATAGGGCTTAAATTTGTAGCACAAGGGTTATGTGTTGTGCCATTGCCCTCTCTAAATCTCTAATGGTTCCCTCTGCTGCAATCAGAATCAGATTATCGGCTGCTTTATTTGTTGCAGGGAAGGACAGAGAATGGGTGACCGTCACATATAGTAACCCCAGGCCTTCGAAGGATGACTGGATTGGAGTATTCTCTCCTGCTAATTTCAAGCATAAACTGATACACTATCTGCTATTTGCTTTGGTAGAATACTGCATGCTTCTTGCTAAATGGAAAGCTGGACTGATCTGGTGTATTTTGTTTCCTTGGGTTTGTCAGTGATTCCATTTGTCCACAAGAGAACGAATGGGTGGAGTCCCCTCTTTTATGTACAGCTCCTATCAAGGTTGGGTTAGTTTCCTGTGAGCTTTCTTCATGTGAAGTTTAGGTGACTTCATAACTCTTATCTGAACATAACACTGAAGGAGGCTTCATATTTCGGCAGTTCCAATTTTGCAAACTACACTAATCGTGATTATGGAAACACTGGAAAGGGATCCTTGAGGCTTCAGCTGATAAATCAGAGAGAGGGTTCTCATTTGCATTGTTCTATGGAGGCCTGTCGAATGTATGTGCGAAATGCTCTTCTTTTTGTGAATCAATCTATTGAACTGCAGGGTTTCAAAAATTTAGACCTTTTTATTTGGTATATGTAAGCTATCAGTACTATACATACAACCTAATCAAATTTATCTTTTTTCCTGATAGACAATTGTGGCCCACCAGGCCACCTTCAACACAATGATTAACTAAGCATGACATATGCTGGGGTCTTTTTGTTTATATAAATATTATTAATAATTTCCTTGTCAGTTGTCACAATATCCGGGCCATGTACAACCTCTACAGTCAAATTCCAACTATAGAATTTTAGATTTAGATGTCACTGTTGTGGACTCCTTCCTAGGCCGCCACTATAGGCGCCGGACCAAGCGTCCTCCACGAGGTGCGTAGTTAGGAAGTGTTGCAGCTCTATAAGTGGCACTTGGAGAGTGTAATAAGGAATCATCGAAGAAGAATAGACCTCTCAAGTGGTGGGGGTTTCTCTTCGACGGTGGCTGCGTGTGGTTCAGCCGCTGCCGCCGGCGAACTCCCCACTGCGCCATTGCCTCGCTATCCCCTTCGCTCCAACCCTCAGTCTCAATCACTCCTCCATTCTCCCTTGCACACCCCTCACAGGCCACGCTGTGTGTCAGGTTCATAAACTCGGGGTCCCTCATGAACCTGCTTCCCAGCAAAAGATCGGCCTAGCAGACGACGTTGCGAACGACGCGCAACTTTTGGGCCGACCCAAAAACCTAACGACGGGCCAGAAGGGCGATCTCTGACCGGAAGGCCTGGCCAAGGGGAGGACCGACGCTCGCTTCTGACTCCGGCCCGCCTCTCCGACCGGAAGGCCTGGCCGAAGAGGAACGGCGCTCGCTTCCGACTGCGGCCCACCACTCCGACTGGAAGGCCTGGCCAGCTCGCCTCCGACTCCGGTCCGCCTCTCTGACTGGAAGGCATGGCCAGCTCGCCTCCGACTCCGACGCTCGCTTCCGACTCCAGGCCCGCCTCTCCGACTGGAATGCCTGACCAAGGAGGAACGGCGCTCGCCTTCGACTCCGACTCGCTTCTCCGACCGGGAATACACCAAACCTCTGCTTACAGCTCTTCTCCGATCGGGAGGCCGGATCCGACTGGGAAACAACCGACCGGGGACGCCCGCTCCGTGAAGACCCAGGAAACGGACAGGGCAAGTAAGGCAGAGCGCTTCAGTCAACCGCAATATCAAGGACCGTACTCTGCACACCTGCAGGACAGTACTGTCAGGTCATGTCAGAAGAGTACTTTATATCCTTCTAGACATGTCAGAACACCAACAGTGTTATGGGCGCCGACATCAGTCGTACCGGAAGATCACGATGGAGCCTATCACATGCATCCGGACATCAACAATGTTGTGGGCGTCGACAAACCGCCTTGTACCCGACGGCGTGGGCAACAAGACTAAGTAGCACACACACTCTTTCTCTTATAAAGCCATCCCCTTTATCTATAAAAGGGGATGCGCCCTCTCCAAAAGGACGACGGATCGATTCACAAACGATTCAACCACCAGCGGATCGAACAACCTACGATTCGAACGATTCCAACAGAGCACACGCTCAAATACTTAGCGCATGTAGGAGCTCCCGTCTCTCTCGGCCCTTCGGTCCAGAGTTCGACCGGACCTCTTGCACCCCCCATCTTTCTCCCTCTCGTTTGTAACCCCACAACAAACTTTGAGCACCTGGGCTCAGGAATAAAGTCTCCGACCAACTCAGACTGGACGTAGGGCACGTTGCCTGAACCAGTATAAACCCTGTGTCATTGAGTGCTAGGCCACATCCGATCACAACGTACGACAAAACTACAAATATTTATGTGTTGATCACTTTCTGCACCGACACTGTATCAGTCACACACCAGTACACCACTAAACATGGTGCACTAGTAAAAGTCTCACTAAACATGGTGCACTAGTGAAAGTCTCTCGCCTAGATTTTTAGGAATGAGCACCTTGTCGTCTCTTTATAACCAAAGAGAACCATTTTGATTTAGAGTTTAGGTTGTTTTTTTAACTCAAACACACCACACAGGAGAGCTGCATGTCATTGTAAGATAGAAAATACGCACAGGGACACTAGTACCATTGTGTTTTATATTTTGGGGTCACTAATATCGCTGCCAGTTGTTTTACCATTCTCAGTTTCCTCTGCATACCACGATGGATAACTAGTATGTGCTTTGGCATGACCGTCTGC